CGCATGCATGCAAAATTTTTTTTGAAAAGAAAATATCAGGCTTTTGCTTCACCAACAAAAGAAGCTGTTGAAATAATTTTGTCAGACACAGCTGATAAGGATAATTACGTGGTGAGAGCTTAGTCATCCCTATCACAGTGACAGAAAGGCAGATTCTCTTAAAAATAACATCAACACCACAAAACTCTAAAGAGTATCTAAGTACAAAGCTTTCCAGATTTCAGCCATAGCTTAGGTAAGCACTGGGCTCCTCCAAGACGCCAGCCGCTGCTGTACAAACCGCTAGAGGGAGCCCATTTTTTTCCATAAATCTCATTTTCATAATTGTTTTGTATGCACACATTCTGCAGTCACAAATTAGCGAAACAATCACAAAGTGTAAAATATGCAAATTTCTGTGTATATTTTAAGTTAAACAGAAATGGAGATACACAGTTCAGGCATGGCCTCCTCTAACATTCGCACCAGTATGCTTGCCAGATGGAGGAAAAGGCACAATTCCCTGTGTTTTGCCTCATCTGAAATAGCACTCTAAACCAAGCGGGCTACAAAGGCCGTTCCAATTTGCCCCTAACAAATTCATTAGCATAAATGGGTTGAGAGGTTGCATTCAGGAGTTCACCATACAGCAGCTAACCTCGAGAAATCCCGTCTGCCTTGAGTAACTACAACCCCAATATAATAACCACCTCAAAGAGTGCTGGAGCAGAGCGTCCCTTTTCACTTAAGGGGTAAAGATCTTTCCTTGGGAGCGGAGGAGCTGCGGATTTTGTTTTTCATACCACAGATGCAGGTTTACCTATCTTTGCATTTATGCCTTTTGTACTGCAACCGCCAGAAGGTAAAATGCCCTCCAATATCAGGTTTCATTACCCTCTTCATACTCAGAGAGCCTCATCAAGTCCCATCCTGTAGCCAGACCTGTTCTCTACTCAGCTAACACCCCTCCAAATGGCTCTAACACATACACTTGACAATGTTTTCATTAGAAAACCAAATCACGTAGCCTAGAAGGACCAAAAGATTAAAAAAATTTTTCTGACTCCTGTCAGCTAAGGAACTAGGGAAGCATATGCGTGAGGTATGGGACTGAATGGGCAGCAATATGGCCGGGCAAAGTCCAGCTGTTTTTTTTCTGTACGCTCCTTTAGATGTGTTACACCCATCGCTCGTGTCCACAAACTCAACCTAGCAGTGAGTCAAGTCTAAGAAGGATTAATCTCAGGAATAAACAAATCAAAGCAAAAGCTTAGACCAGGCAGTGAGCAAGGGCTAAGCATATCCACATCCAATCACAGCCTTCAAGTCTTCTCCAGTACACGAGAGAACTACCTCTGCTCAAGACACTGGGGAGCTGTTACCCATTCAACACCACTAATCCTAAAACACTCCATCAAGTCAGAGGAGAAAGCCGGATATCCTCTCAAAAGCACAGTATTTTCTGCCATAGGCTTGCTCTCTTCCATCACAAACCATGCTGTGAGCCCAAAAAAGACCGGCCCTTAGCACAGGCACTAAGTAATACAGCTACAGCAGGGCACCTCTCCCCCTCAGTCACCAGAGTATGGGACCCACAATGCGGCGATGGCATCTGGATAGCAAGAATGTGAGAAAGTAGGAACTGAAGCTCACTACCTTCAGAAGACTCGAGAGGAAACAGAAGAACTGGAAGGTCTCAAACCATTTTCCCATATTTTGTAGCAATCACGGAAATGGGGTGTGGGTCATGCAGCCGGTGAGCAGGAATGCTCTCCAACACACAGGAAAACTTTGCTCAAGTTAGTATGTCTTACGGAAGCAAGTGTAACTTTCCAAAACCCAAGGAGTAGGGAGTGTTTCCCCCAGCATTAGAAACTTTCTTTTTCACTTGAGACTGTGGGTGCACGTCTCTCTGTCAGGATTACTAATATGAGCAGATGCTTCTTTCATGTTTGGGAGTTTTGCCATTGACTTCAAAGTAGTGAGATATAACACCTTGCGTATTCCCTAAACACACTTAATAACAGCGCCTGACACATTTAAAGTGCTTAGACATGTTAAAGGCATTGTATGACATTAGCAAAAAAAACAGGAATCCCTGTCTAGGTGGTTCATGAGAAATCTGGTAAGCCAAGAGTCTATCCCTGATGCTTATCTATTAGCCAGCTAATAACTGTGCGACTGCTTCTCTAACTGATCTGTACAGTCACAAGCAGGGACTACCTTCTGGTGAGCTGTGGAGACTTTATATTGCTCATAATCCTCTTAAATCCTAACAAAGAATACAGATTAGAAGGTGTAAAGCGTGCAGTAAGTGTTCTAAAACCAACATAAACACAGCCATCTCAGACTGAGTCAGAGCCTGCATCATGGGAGCTTACTAAACTCCTTTTGAAGTCAAGTTCTAGGGGTGCAAGCAGCGTGTGGTTTGGCTCTCCTGGTGCTGGGCTGGTGTGACAGCAACACACACCAAGCAGCACCTGGAGCCAGTTCAAAGCAGGCAGGAGCAAGGTCAGCCCAGCGTGGCAGCGCCACTTCGGGGATGAGGCCGTGGGGCTAAGAAATGAGTTCCCCCCTTTGCTTCAGGGCAAGCAATGGAAAGGGAAGGAACAGCAAGATCCCCTTGGAGAGGGAGAAAGCGAAGGGCTTTTGCCTCTGGTGGGCTTGGAAATAAGACAAAAACGTGATTCTTGGGGTAGCTCTTGAACCTCTCTAACAACATGGAGAAGGCCATCATCAGGAAACCTCAGCACAGGTCCACAGGAGCCACCACTGAACCGTCTTCATCAGCATTTCTTAACTTAGCCAAAAGCTGTCGTATGTGATGCGTGTGCATTTACAGGTGTCAGTCAGGTGTAACCTGACAAGGCTCCATACAGACTACAACCCCCATGGTCACTGCTGAAACCAGTCTTAAGCAATGATTGAGAATTTTGACAAAATGCGGAATTACAAACTGCACAATTCTATACCTACTACATGTGGGGATACTGCAGGAGGGTCTCGAGACTCTTCTTTTTGGAGACAAGAAAACCAGCGTCAACTTCTGCACTAACCTGCACAACTGCTAAAAAGTATAAGTGATACACAACACTATTAGGAGCATTTCTGGGGTTAGCATTAATGTACACCAAAGTTTTACCTATACTGGTATACTACAGCAGCAGCAAAGGGCATTCCTGAATATATATCAGTCAGAAAGTAACCATGATAATTACCAATGAAAATCGTTAAGTCCACTAGCTATTTTAAATACAGGGCTAATAATATCAACAGGAGGTTTATGTGTGGAACCTCCTTCCCCCGAGCACTTCTTCATATTACTTTCCATGCGGTATTCCTCAAGTTTTTACAGCATTTATCTATAGAGTTTCCCTGTTTACATTAACAGCCAGAGATGCCCAGTTTGCTACTGTAATTTTAACTACTCTTGCTTAAGACTGCCAGCCTACACGCTCGTAGCAGCAAACGGTAAGAAACAAAACTCCTGGTTCCCAGCAATCTCTGTGTCCTCTGTCACTTTTTGAATCTCAGCAATTCGTAGGCACGAGATGTTTTACTCGCTGCTACCCTGTGATACCTGGGACTTGTAACGGCAGCTCGTGGGGTCCTGAATGAGGGCCCCTGTAGCACCATCCCCGCACACACCGCTGAAGCCATCTCCACAAGTATTTGTAAACATTTAGTCTTCCAAGAACTTTCCACTTGAAACATGACTGCTAATGTATTCACATTTGTAATAATTAGATGCAAATTTATAAAAAGCCACTTTCTTGCTCAACTGAATTACTCTTCTATTAATAGTGATGTTCAAACGATTTTGAAATTCCCCACTGTTTAACTTCAAGGACTGCTCATTTTATTTTGGACATTTACTCCTGGTTGCAACTTGACAAAGAAAGTATTAATTTTTTCACATTTGTGAGACAATGTATGTGGTTCAGCCTTTTCCATTCATGTGTCAGATAATGAATTGGTTTCCCTGGAAAACTGCACAATGAAATATTCAACATGAGGCATTCTGTAGCTTAGATGTGAACTACAAACTGCAATTTTACTGGGATGTCCCTGTAGGTTGGCTCTGGCACGTACGCCTGCATGTTTTATGCTTTGTCTGAAGGAGGAAGATCCCACAAGTGAGGAAAAAAGCTCTTGGATATGGGTCACAAGTTGGTGTTCCAAAACTTAGGTAAGAATTTAAAAAAAGATTACAGTACCTCAGCATATTCCCCTCCAGCTTTCAGGAAAAAAAGGAAAAAAAAACAAAAACAAAAAAACCCCAACCCAACATAAACCAGACCTTGAATATTCTTTGGTATTTCAGAGGTTTTCTGCAAAGGGAAGGAAATCAGCCAAGATTTGCGTAAAACCAGAATGAAGGCAAGAGAACACTCTCTGATGTAGGTTGCTCAGGTTTCCTCTATGCTTTACAAGCTTGACACTGGGTCATTTTACTCCTGCTTCATTTTTAACAAGTGACAAATGCCATTTATAGGTTTGTTTCCCATCCAAAAGAAGATTAAAAGAAATCAATTCTCCTCTCTCATAGCCTTGTGGCATTTTCCGGCTCCAACACCAAAACCCATTATAGTCTGATTATCCCGATTTCTGAACCAAAACCCCTGAAACCGTTTCAATTGTACTCAAAACAGAAGAAACGAGACAATGAAAAAAAAAAAAAAAAAAAAAAAAGAAAAGAAAAAGAAAAACCACCACTGAACACTTGGTGCGATCTCACAGCTTCCTTCGCATGGCCACGGCCGGAGAGAGACCCCTTCCAGCCCGGGCAGCGGCGCGGGGGGCTGCACGGGTCGGGGGGTGCCCTGCCCCCGGGGGAACCTCTCGGCTCCGACTTCTCACCGCCCACGACCCGAGACAAACTCCCGCGGCGGGTGCCAAGCGCCCACCCTCCCCCCCCCCCCCCTCCTCCCACGCCGAGCCGTGCCCGGGGAACCCCCCCCCCCTCCCCGGGGGGCTCGGCTCTTTTCGGGCGCGTCCCCGCCGCGCTCCGCGGGACTCACCGGAGATCTCGGCCTGGGGCACGCCGCTGAGGCTGAAGCCCTTGGCCCCATACAGCTGCCGGACCTCGGCGCAGCTCCTCGCCTTGCTGCCGCTGTCACCGCGAGCCGGGGCGGAGGCGACACACAGCAGCCAAAATCCCCACGGGAAGAAACGCATCCTTCTCCGCTGGCCCCGCCACCTGCCGTGCGAAGGGCGAAGGCAAGGTCCCGCGGCGGGGTCCCCGGGGCGGCGCGGTGCGGGGCGCGGCCCCCCCCTCCGCGGGCAGCCCCGGCGGGACGGCGGGAGCCCCGGGTCCGCGGGCGCTGCCGCTGCCCGCGGGGAAGGCGCCGGGCAGTTCAATCCGGACGCCGCCGCGGTTGGGCGGGAGGGGGGGTAGAGATCCAAGTTTAGCCGGGCCGGGGCCGCTTTAAAACCCCGGAGCGTGACGGCGGAGAAGGGGCTTTTGTTCTTAGCGCGGCTGCATCCCCGGGCAGTCCCGCCGCGGTGCTGCCGGCTTGCGGCGGAGCGGGGCGGGGCGGGGCGAGGGCGGGCGGCAGGGCTGCTCCCGGGCTGGGCTGGGCTGTGCTAGGCTGGGCTGGGCTGTGCTAGGCTGGGCTGGGCTGGGCGGTGCGTGCGGCGGCCCCGCTCCACCTGCGCGCCGAGGCGGGCGGCGGGGCAGGCGCGGAGCGAGGCAGGGCTTCCCCCGCCGGACGTGGCATCACGCCGCCCGGCGCCAATCCCGCGCAGGGCGCAGCCCCCCGGCCCGCCCCCGCGGAGCGCCGCGCAGCCCCCCCCCCCCCCGCCCCGCCCCCGCGCAGCCCCCCGCGCGTGCCACAAGGGGCGGGGACACAAACACCGCCCCCCCCCCCCCCCCCACAACCCCCCCGCGGTTTTGGGGAGCGGCAGCGCGGGCGGCCCCCGTCCCGGTTCAGGTACCCGCCTCGGAGCGCCCCGATCCCTCGGGAGGGACGCCGTGAGAACGGGCGATAAAGCTTCTCTGCAACGTGGTCCAGGCGCTTAACCTGAAGACCCCCGAGCCTCCCCAGATTTGGGGAGGAAACAACCCTAGAGGGGGCTTGACTCACAGAACACTTAGCCACACCGGTGAGTCGAAAACATCTTAATTGAGAGAATCCCGGCAAGGTCCTGGGGAGGCTAAAAGTGCCCCTTTAAGAGCGGCTGTGGGAAGAGAGGCGATTTTCAACCACGGATTCTCAGCTTTGGAGTTTAGTTCCTACAGCAGCCTGCCAGCTCCTGAAACCGCTGCCCCGCAGCTCTCCCCGCCGTGTTTTAAACGCGTTTAACTGCTTCCCGCAGAACTGAGCCATCCGTGATCGCCCGTGGGGCGAGGTAATGCCCGCCGGTCTGCCCCCCCACGATGGGCGCGCAGGCTTTTGGCCAGTTCTCTGACACGTTTCACAACAAATAGAGGACCCGAAGATCGCTCCTCCGAGTCTTCCGAGAGCAGTTGTTCTCTATGGAAAAAAGGGGGGGGGGGGGGGGGGGGAAATCTGCCCGTGCCTCAGCGGAAGCACGTGTGTGAGCTTACACCTTACTAGACATCAGAAGCCCCACAGAAACACCACCACGGTCCCCCCAGAAACCCAGCAAAATTAATCAGAGAACGCGCCTTTTGGACGAGTCACTCAGACATGCAAAAATACACGGGAAAGTTGGGTCATTCATCTTTCTGCCTCGGAACTGCTTGCTCTCCAGAGGAATGAGTAAGGGAGAAGTGACAGCAAAGTCAGAGCCCCAGGGAGGGGAAGGATGGCAGTAGGGAAGAGAAAAGTTGTTGCTTTCTTATGAAATTGTTTAATGATTTCCTATTAAATCTTCCTAATTAAATCCATCTGTGAGATACGTACGACAATGCAGATTAAGAGGGTCTAACTGCAAAGACAGGAAGAATTTTGTAACAAAGATCCTGACTAAGGTGACACATCGTTACCACCAAAAATTAAAATCGTATGAATCAGATACACCCCAAATCTTAATTCTTATACAGATGACACTGTGCATTTTGGTCTCTTGCTGCATCTCTCAGTGATGCACAGTTCAGAAACCCAAGGCTTACGGGGTCCCAAAAACTTGGTACCCCTCATATGTTGGAGATTGCTCTGTGGGCTTCCTGGAGCATGGAAATGTGTGGGAAATGTTCCTGGAAATATGTGGGAAAAGAGTTTGCCATGGATGATGTAAAGTCTGACCTACCTCGTTATTAAATGGGATCCCTTTTGTAAATGCACAAGTACCGCGCACATTACACGTTACCAAGTGCGTTATGCGGTACGAGGTTATTTCAACCCTTATTCCTTGGTATTTATTCAAATTTTATAGCCATAACCTTTTCCCCACCCCAGGCTTTGAACACATCACTCAGAGATATATGTCAGAGATCTCATCTAATTAATCCAACTACAATAACAGCAGAAAACACGCACCAGAGGAATCCACACACGTATTGCTAGGACTATGGGAATACCAGGATCTTGGTTCCTCTTCCTGGAAAATCAAAGGGGGAGAATCAAGCACTTACAGACACTCAGCTAACAACGCTGTCACTTGGGTCTGTTGAGGGCAATGAACTCCAGGAATGCAAACTCCAGAGAGACAAAGTACTTGATAGAGAATAAAGGCAGAGCCATAAACCTGTTATCTGGTCTGGCTGCTACAGAATGACTCGGGATGACACAGGGGACCAAAGTAGTTCCTAATTTTCTCTTTTCCTTTTCAAAGCCCGGGATTGGATACTTTACGTGTATATCGAGGGCTTGCTTCCAGCTGTGCCTGAAGCGACCTTGGGGAAGCTCTCTCTGAGCTGCGGTTGCACCCCAAGGTTGCAGCACGAAGCCGTCAGCAGTCACACAGCTGCTGAAGTGCACTGCAAGACTAACTGCTGACAGGGAAAGAACCGGGACTAAAATCCTTGGGTTTTGGCCTTGGAACCATCCCCTGAACTAGAGGTCATCTCACAGACCAAAGTATTTCCCTTTTTCGTATACATCTCACTTCCCCAAGCTGGGTGACAAGGGTGCCTGAGGCAAGGACTAAAGTCATGTCATTCCTGATAAAATCCCGAGAGACTGCAGCACGCACGCTGCTTATTCACCTGCACTCTGCTTTTTCCATGGTGCAACACCAGGCTACCAGCCGCCTGCACACGTCGCACTGCTCCCTCCCAAGCCCATTCCAGGAGCTAGAACTGAAGTACAAGCTCTGCCACAAACTGCCTTGATTACGTGTCCATCGTCAGGTCACCTACCTCCTAAATAGGGATAAGAGCACTTCTTATCTGATCACTTGCCTGTGAGATGCTCGCATACTATCATAATGAGAAGCCTATAAGTAGGCAAATTAAAAATAAACCTGAGCTGATATAAGCTCTTCCACAGAGAAGCTATCTGCAAGTCTATGCAGGATTCAGTCTTAAATTAGGAGGCACATCTATTTGCTTTGCTGTTAAGTTTGTATGCACACACAGGATTTGGGCTAGGTACATTGTAAACAAATTGAAATAAACGTCTTCAAAGTGTCATGATGAAAATGTATTTTTGGCATCCATTATAAATCTGATGTCTTCTGTGCATATTTGAGGATCAGATCCCCCTTCTGAATGTTCTCAGTTAAAGAATGGAGCTTGGCAAAACATGAACAAAAGACTGTCCAGCAATGGGCAGAAAGAGCTAGAACTGGGGAAGATAAGAAAAAGCACAGTAAAACACAAAGATGAGTAGACAAAATGCAGAGGAGGAGAAAAGCACACAGCCAGCCAGCAAGGTAGTCAGAGGAAGACAGAAAATCCATCCTGCTGTGGAGATCACCTCTTGACAGTCCTAACAAAAAGCGCTGCCCACTGAAGAGCTGATCCAAGCACTATGAAGAAGCAAGAATGATGAAGAAGATCCAAATCATCTGGCACAAGAGGGGAAAGCTACCCTTTAAAAAAACATAAGTGAACAGAGGCTTTGAACAACCTTGATGTTCACAGGGCCGTCTTGTTTCTCTAGCACTTCCCAAAAGTTTCGCAACGCAGTGGACATGCATCTCTTTTTCATATTGATGCAGATCAAGAATTGTACAGGCAGCGGCACAATTACGCCCACCAGACCTCCAGCTAGTTCCAAAAGGGACCTATGCTGAGCTACAGCAACCTGGAGTCTGACAGTGAAACCCGAGCAGGAAAAAAAACAGATAACCTTATCAAATTTCATTGCATCTTTGATGCCACGTAAAAGAATAGAGCATTCCCACTTGAATTCAGTGCAGTTTCTACCTCTTTCACTATGCATCAAGTACAGAGCTCGCACAGAATGGGGAGCGGGGAGGGAAAGGAGATGGGCAAAGCCTAAGTGGGCTACACTTTCTTCCCTCTCACCAATGTCATGTAATGAAACCCTCAATACCTTTCCCTTAGCCAGTTTTATGTTACTTTTGATTCTGTGGAAATGTCAGAAAACCTGGCACCTTTAGATTAAAAATCTTCAACAAAGTAGGAGTATCTCAGGCCTTTTCTGCTCATTCCTTTTAATCTCTGCTGTATCTCTCTCCTACAGGACTCATGAAAGCTCTCCCCCTGCTCCCTTCCCTCCCCTGCTCCCCCCCCCCCCCCCCCCCCCCCCAACACTGGCTGGTATTCAGCAGAAGCTGGAGATGTGTTTTGCTGAATTAAATCTAATTAAGTTATTCAGAGGATTTACTAGATTACACCTTGCTATCTACAGCTGCTTACTTCTTCACTGGATCTTCCTTCATTAGAAATCTGGCAGCTCCTCCTCCCCTCTGTGCACATTCCCCCGCAAAGCTTTTCTGACCAAAAATATCAGATCAGTACGCTTGAATTGCTGGGACACCTATGTACAACTGACAAATCCAGTTTGATCGCAACTGACTTTGTAAGAAGCCACTTGCCTTACAGAAATGCTAAGACTTGGTGGGATTTGTGTGTCCAGATTAATTAATCAAGAATATCATGCGGTAGGTGTACAGAGCTGGGCATCCTTCCCAGGTCTTGAGGGAGCTGGGTTCAAGCTCCAGGGCAAGGATGACCACAATTCTGGCTGCTGAGGAAAAGAGGACAGGGGGGCTGCACGGAGGACAAGGGCAGCAGTGTACGCCAAGGCTCGGCCAGCCTGCTGTTCGACCCTTTGGTGGAACAGACTAGCTCCCTTTAAATGCAATGCTTAATTCCCCTGTGTGTGGCTGGTACTCTGCAGAGGGAGATTATGAACAACTAAATAATTTCAGGCAGACAATCTGGCTAACACAGGTAATTGCCACTCTCTGCTATATTTCGAATTGAACAACCCAATTTTACAGCAGCAACTTAAAGGAATGTGTTGCTTTAATGACCTCTCACAAACGACTCCACCCTGCAGGACTGTACTTGTATGATACAGAAGTCAGAGATTCCTCAGTAGAAAGAAGTCTTAAAGGCCAAAAAATAAATACATACCATAAACTCATTAGAGAAACTGCTGCTAATTGGGTCTGCCCCAGGAAGTGCATTTCATCCTTTCTGGACACATTCTGGAGCATTCTTTCAAGAAAGCTTTTCCCACTCCCAGCTCCCCAAAACATATGCAACAGTGAACAAAGAATATGGTCGCGGCACTGAATCTGTTTTATGATTGATAAGCAGACCTTAGCTCAATAGCATGAAATGGC